TTTAATGAAAAAAAAATAAAAATAAGTGAACAATTATTTTGCTATACCTTGGGTTCGCAAAAGTAAAATTGTTATTAACTTGTCACATATTACCAGTTACGACATTGCAACCATGTCTGGAGAAAGTACAATTTATTATAATTTGAAATAGAAAAGCGAAAACAATACGAGTATGCCGGTTGAAAATATTAATTATAAAGAAAAAACTGTAAATGCACACTTATAAATTCTTAAAGTGGTAACAGTGTGCACAACGACCACATTACCATAGTAAAACCAGAACTTCTGTTCTGTTTTTACTATGACATTACATTTTTATTATTTGGAGTATTAGAATAGTGGAGCATTAGCGTACTTATTCTAAATGGGACCTTCTGGCTTACGAAATCAGTTTCGGCGATTGAATCCGCTTCCATATGTACCTGACGAAATCCATTCGCATATCTAAACTTGTAAAGAATTTACTTAGTCCTAAACTATCAATGTGATCCTATATGAGTAGCAAAGGCAACTTATCTTTTACAGTATGTGAATTCAAAACCTTATAATCTACGCACATTTGATCTGTGCCGTCTTTCTTTTAACTTTCGTATTAGTTTCGTTAAGTCCTTTAGGTATTATACTTCGAACGCAGTTTCTCATCATACGACAATTTGTACAGCCTATAGCATACTAGTTAATTTTTGGAAACTTCTGTTTTCATACTACCTGTCGTGACTGTTGACGAAGTCATGCTGATTATAAAAATACTGTGAAAAATTATTAGCAACCCACAAAAGCTGTTCTTTCTCTTCACCTTTAAGAGGTGTGTTTACATTATTAATACAGAAAGCATGGTTCACCGGTATAGGTATATTTGTACGCGTCAGAATTTGAACAACCTTCTGTCGGATGTATGTATGTGATGCCTTCAAAATATCAGTGCCTATAATGACCGGAGTTCTGACACAATTGTGGGGTACCACATAAAAATTGGTTTAGATAGGTATGTGAAGTGGCTCCACAATTAATGTCACAGACGAAGTACATTCGATAAACTGACTTCATATACCACGCCAAACGTGATATGTCGGTTTTCGGTTAGCCTTAAAGTGTTTTAGCAAAGTACTCAATGCGAGTGATAATCAGGAACCGCTGTCTTCTAATAAATAAATTAAAATTATACGGTAACGTCGATCGCTTGGACGTTACCGTCTAATATATTAAAAAATATAACATTATGCGGGTTAAGTTTTATCCATTCGGAACGTTGTTTGGCAAAACATGATTGAAAATTTATAACCACTATTTTTGCAAAATGAGCATGTAACGGAATGCGGCGACTGTGACGTTCCCGAACTATTACCTAGTCACATTCTTTTAGCACTTATTCAGTCTATACGTTTATGCTGAAATCTTCCACATAAGTGACATTTTAAATAGCCAACTCTGTTTTCATTTTTATTCCGTCGAGTAATGGTTGATTCATAACAAGGGCGCGATCCACGAGAGATATCGCGGGTAGACGGAAAATTGAAAAATTGCACTAAATCATTGGGTTATAACTTTGCATTCGTAACTGCAGCTTTAATATGAGGATCTGTGATGCCCCTCGATACTATATCAACAATAAACTAGATACAATACTATAAACAATACTATAGCAATAATTAGTTCACAAGATTGTCTTTTAATGCTTAAACCCAACATTAAAAACGATCGTCTAGCGTATTCGGCATAAGTAGCGTAACTTTCAGAATCTTTTTTTATCACTTTGTAGAGAATAGACGCAATATCGACGGTATGCGGGCACAAAATTTTAAATTTTGGTTTACAATTTGTTCATGAACGATCTATGCTAGATCGTTCATGAACAAATTGATCTATACACGTTAAGCACACACGTGCTTCTCCCTTCAAAAAATTACCGATTCGCCACAGCCACTCGATATTGTCACATACGTTAGTTTCTTTAGTCCGATATTGTGAAGCTAAAGTTAGAAATACGAGTAAATATAATATTTATTAGACCTTACTTTAACTAATAAAGAGATAAACTCCACGGTTCTGCAAGTTGCGTCACCGCCTATGGCAATGCTGTCTTGTGATAACGAAACAGGTGCGCGGCCTGCCTTCAAATCGCTATCATGTACTTCGTCGGTGGCTGCACCAATCGTGAGCGCGGGCAGTACGGGATGCGGTGCCGGCCCCGTATATGTTGTTGACCTCGTCATAGTCGTAGAATAGTGACGGATCTGACAATTATTAAACTTTACAGGGCAGCCATTTCAAATAATTATGTTAGATTTTTTGACATAACTTTTTTAATTCTAAATCTATAATTATGAAAATTGGCATATAAGTTTAAAATGGGGTTTATTTTAAACTGGAATAAAAACAATAACTTTTAATTATACAGTTTTCCTGAAAAATCATGTGCTTCATTTTACTTTGGAATCAAGACAGTCACATAGTATTATCCGACATTTTTCTTCGGAAAGTTACTGTTCAAACAATGACGGATGTTACTTTCCAGTGTTGTTCTACTGACTTAGCGAATAATATTTTGGCGGATGTGTTATCTGTTATATTCTAGTTTGACCATGAGTAAGAAGGTAGGCAGTAAATAGTAGGTAGGTAGGGTATCTTATAAATAAAACAGACTATTTGGTCTAGTCTTTATACTGAATTTGTATTAAGAAATTATAAACAACATTATTTTGTACTACATAGATTAAGAAGACTATAATGTTGAAGCTATTTGGACCTGATTTCTTCCTTTTTGGTAAATTACTAATCTAAAACTTAAACACTAACCATTTGTTAGCCAAGTTATATTATCACAATCATTTTATAAGTAGTTAGGGCAGTAAAAACGTTAATTAAATGAATAAATCCTTAAAATTCACAACTTCAGATATCAAAATAGTAAAAATTAAGTAACTAGGATTATTAAACACAATTCTTTAGCACAATTATTCATTTAAGGTATTATTGAAGAATCGCAAAGGCTAATAAGATCCTTATATTTATCATTACTGATTGGAATTGGCCCCACGTAAGCTTTATGTAAGATTGGATTATTGTATTGTCTAGTCTCCTTCAAAAACATCGTGAGGAAACCTGCATGTCTGAGGAATAAGAAAAAAAATATTTCGAAGACATGTGAATTTCGCCAACACGCATTGGGGCAGCGCGGCGGACACTTCCTTGCCCTAAAACCCCTTCAGAAATGAGGGGAGGCCTGTGCCCAGCAGTGGGACGTATATAGGCTGTAACTTTACTTTTTACTTTACTAGTCTCCTTTCGAAGTACCAGGGTCATGTAGTCATCAGATAAAGCATATTTGTACCGGATTTTACTGCTCTGAGTTCCATCGACACAAACTTCATTTATGCTTGTCCAAGTAACTTTGTTGTTAACTGTATTTTTTTACCTAGTTTTTATTTTTAGCTGATCTTTAAAATCAAACACTAAAGACTGATTTACGTCTATGACTTCATAAGAATCACCTGTTACTTTAGCCCAACGTACATGTAATTTCCATTCATCTGGTGTATAAATTGTTTTATGCTCAGCAGCCATTTCTATCACACTATGGACAGAATCCCCCTCGTTTTGGGTGTGGCCTTTTTCAAAGAATCTATGTGTTATAGTTATATCATATTCTTTAGCTACATGAGCATACATAATAAACACTATGCGATTTCGCTTCTAGCCAGCGCAATTGTCTGACCAGAATCGAAACTCTTTCACAGCTTTTGATACAAACTTCTTTATGAAGTCATAAACGCAACTGGCTACTTCGTTGGCCCCACGTTTGGCAACACTTTCATCCCACATATAGCAATAACCTTGTTTGCCGATCATATCGTCTATGGTGAAATTATAACATGACAGCTTTCGCTTGTAATACAATACACTCATTTGCTCGTGAGGGCATGACAAAACCATCTGAAAATCAAAGGTAGCATAAACTATGCGTCCATTAGAATTAACAGCGACATTTTTATCATTCTGTTTCAAGATCCTAGACACTTTTTTGCTATTTAAATGGTTTGCATACCGTTCTTTAAGTTCATCAGGCGGATTTTGTGTTAGTTTAAAACTATGGCACTGATCACAAGTATCCTTTTTGGGTAGATGAAAACTCAAATTAAAATGACTGTTAACTATGTCTCTGTACTGTCTAAGACTGGAAGCTGTATTTGAATAATAGTTAATTTCAGGCCAATCTTTGTATAAATTGAACATCCTAGCGATGCTCAAGTCACCATCTAAATACAGTCGTTTGGACGCTGCTCTGTTATAATGAGATTTTACAGGTACAAATGAATTAACGTGGGCACAAACCGACTTTACCATTTCATCGTCAACAACCCGATTATGATTTTTATGTTTCCCCCCTCATGTCTTTTTCTATTAATGTGCTTCCGTCATATTTATTCCAAGCTGTCCGAACTAACCTTTCGCTAATCGAATACGTACTTAAAAACATGGTTTTACAAACCTCTATTTTTGATGAGCCCTTTGGCAAAAAATAATTGTAAGTAAATTGACGGTTATGTTTTAAATCTCTTTGAAGGCCCCTTTTCTTCTTCTGTTTTGTAGTATAATTCGCAACATGCAACAATTGTTTCTCACGATCACCTAACTTCCAAAACTTTTCAAATGCATCCTGTCTTTCTTCGAGAGTCAACATAGTGTAACATTTATATCTACACGTGCAAGGCCTACCTATAGTTTTTGCTTGAACAATAACTCCCTTTTTGGAGATGTATTCTTTTTCTGCGTTTGCTAAGCGTTTTCTTTTAATTTATTCCCAATCGTCATAATTTCGGACACGTTTTTTACCTCTACATCGAATAAGAGGCGCTGGAGACAACTGGTATGAAGACACAGCTGTGCTTGTTTGATTGACAGTTGCTATGTCTGCACCATCGTGAGTGGAACAAAAAAAAGTCATTACATACCTCACCATGAGTTTTACTGGTGATGGCATAGGTGTTTGTCCATTGTTGTCAACAGTCGGGGTAATCGGTTGCGGGAAAGGTGACAGGTCTGATATCAGGGTAGAAGTATTTAAAGGGGGTTAGATCTGAGGTGATATTTAAGAGGGACACGACACCATGCTGATTTTCTGACGCGAGTAAATATGATGAGGATGCATTTTCATACATGGCCATAAAAGGATCTTCTTCAAGAACACAAGTAGATGATGGTATGTTCGGGTCCATATTTTCATTTGTTGATTTTATGATTTCGCTTGTTCCGTTCATCTCTTCTATTACGTTGCGTGCTCCTGGAGGTAATGGCGAATGGCATTCTGAAAATATATCAGTATATGTAAAAATAAATAGATTATTATTATCACAGGTTAACATTTACTAAAAACGGTAAGACTATTCATAATAAAAAGATTAGAAAGTATAAAAAAAGTACTTCTTTTTATTTATACAGGTAAATTTTTACTCAAATCCGATTATTTTTAAAGAAAAATATATTAAATATATACAAATATTCATAATTTTTCAACAGAAAAATGGCGGAAGTGAATTTAGTTCAAAGAAAAAAGTGAGATGATCAGATACGACCGTTAGACAAAAAAGCGTGTCCACAAAATACCGGCGTTTGTAACAACGCGTCACTATCATGTCCATAGAAAAATGTAATATAGTTACATACAACTTGAAAATTTAAATTCTCAAATATAACAAAAACTCAACATAATAATTGTAGTAATATCAGCGAGCAAATATTATTTTTATAAAAGTTAAATTTTATATTGATGTATATTTTCCGTAGAAAACCGACGGATACTCAGAACCGACGCTTTACTTATTTACTTTGCAAAATATGTGTAAATACAAGAATTAAGTAATACTATAATATTAATACATAATTCATTAACTTACCTGGAGTCCCTGGTATGCAGTCCTCCTCATCCATGCGCTCATCATGAGTAAAACCCGTACTTTTCGAATTTTTGCTTGTTTCTTCCACAAGTTTTAACATAAGCTTTGATCGTCCTGTTTTCATTGTGGCACACCTTTTAATATAATATGTAAAAAAACTAGGCACGCAATAGCTAACAAACAGGCAAATAAAGTAAAACTAGTGTTTTTTTTTTGAATTTTAGAATTGTTTAAGAAAAATCTAATCCGCTGCAACGCGTGAGCGAGTTAGACGAAAAGTGACGATTGCGCGGATTCGTCGGGAGTGGGAGAGGATGGCGGGAGATCCCCGCGCGTCGAATAATGACGAGTATATACAAACGTCATTTTGCAATGAGTACCTATCAAATCCGTTTATTTACCGACTGATTATTTTGAAATCTGAAATACATATAGTTTTTTCTTTACTGTAGTAATAATATTTAGGCAATATAATATCCAAATATGGTAAAAAGTGAATTTCGTGGTTTTTTTAGAACCGTCGTTATTCTACGATCATGACGACTTGTAAAAGTGGCTCGCATGGTGGTGGTGACGAAGTAAAACGTTAAAAGCGAAGTAAAGCGTATTCATCTACTAAGGATAACATCCAGCACCTTCTTATTCAACTCATGCTTGCGTTTACGAGAGCGAGATTGTTCTGTTGTTCTGAAAACTAAACTGGGCGCAAAATACTACGATCTAGGTGACGCAATTATTAGCCACGCCCCATGTCTAGTTGTAATCGTGTAACACTATTATCTTAGTTCTGACAACAGAATCTAATAAGTATAATTAATTTTATTACATACCTTTTTTAAGTTTGATTTTTCTTTTTATTAATATTTAATTTCTGTCACTTCCTATTAAAACTCTATAGCGAACCTACATTTACATGTGTGCACTTACGTTTATGTTAATGCTTTATAATAAAATCTTAATAATAGAATTTCAAATTTGAAGGGATAATAAACCGTTTTATCAAATCTATTATCAAAATAACATTTTGCGTGCGTAGTATGAGGGAGATTTTTTGTATTTAAGTGTCTGGAAAACGGAGAGCCGAGTTGAAAGGGCCAGCGAGTTTGTAATTAAACTAATTTCAAGTTAATGGCTCCCAGCCTCCCGAAAAATAGAATAAGTTTTTTTAGGAAACCCCAAGCTGTGGGAAGTATATATTGCACAACTTTTAAGTGTACAAAAATATTTCTACTTATATAAAATTAAACTTATGAACTTTCTTCAAGGAACCGAAATAAATGAGATCATTTTTTTATAGAATATAGATGACAAAAGCGCACACAGCCCAGCTGATGGTAAGTATATGCTGTGGCCCATAAACATCTTCATTTATTTACTATTTAATGCAGTCCTTAAAAGAAAAGAATACAAAGGGTGGACTTAACGCCTTGAGACATTCACGATTTAGAATCAAAATGCAAATGCGTTCTGGCCTCTGAAGGCTAAGATAAAATGCCTCTTTGCCAGTAAAAAGGGTCTCCGTTTTTCTACACTCAACATACAAAACACTACACTATTAAGCTAATATTTTACGCTGTTATTCTATGAGAGCGTAGCGTGGCTCTACCGTATATATTTTACTACATACATTATTTTACATACTAGCTTCTGAAGTCAGTGCTAAAATAATTATTGAAAAATTAAAACCCAGATTTGAAAAGCTATTATAGTTAGTATATAGTTATAGTATATAGTTAGTATCCGACTCTCCGATAACATTACACATGCACCGCAACCTCGTTTATTAATCAATAATTCTATTAATTCATCTAATATATCTCTTTACATTGATAGTGTAGTGTTTATAATATACACTATCACTGTCACTATACGTATAAACTGAGCAGTAGTGCATTTATGTAACTCTAATATGAGTCGTTGTTAACTTCGTTTTGTCAAACATTTAGTTTCGTTGAATTACAATTTTAACAATAAAATATAGATACTGATAACTACCTTTACTGCAGGTAGTTATGTATGCAGGTAGTGGAGGGACACACGGGCAGAGGAAGGCCGAATAAAAGATGGATCGATTGTGTGAAGAGTGATATGAGAATGAAAGGAGTAAGTATGGAAATGACGGCTGATAGAGAGGAATGGAACAAGAAGATTTACTGCGCCGACCCCAGATAATGGGAAATGGTTTAGAGAATGATGACTGATAACTACATTTGTTTATAGGACAGCCCACGCAAGTTTTTTAGTGTAACTGGCTAATTGTAACTTATTTTGAAATACAAATGTAGAAAAAGAAAATACCCAACCACATTTATAAGAGCTAAATTGATATATCATGTTTCATTGAAAAATTAATCTGCGTCGGGGATATTGTCACGCGATGATTTTTTACGATTTCCAATGCTGCCTGGAACCTGACAAATAGTTTTACGGAATTCAAATGGCATTTATGGATAAAGGCCCTTTATAGACAACCACTTACCGCTGGTATAACAAATTTTGGCATGGTCGACTAAATTTGATTTCTAAGTGAACGTACTGGCAGTGAAAAATGAAATTTAATTTTACACGAACACTTTTGCGTTAGGAGGACAGTTTCATGTTGGGTATCGCACAATCAGAACTATGCCCAGAAGCAGACATCAGTGTAATGATCGTGAAATTATTTCTAGAAAAATTCTTGTTCGTCTCAGCTTGCTCACAATATTATTAGACGTAGGTATATACGACGGTCGACACTCTGGCTTTTTCAAAAGAAAATCAACTCTACTACCAAAACGAAACGATTGAGAATAGAGAAGCAATATTTTGATCGGTAGTTTAATCACTTTGAAATTCTATCTGGTGTCAATTCTTTTACGAAATCATAACAGCAACCATATGGAATGGTATACTACCAAATGCTTGCCAGAAATTTTCATTTCTGTGAACAAGAGAACAAACACGCTCCGCGTGCTGAACGTATCTTCATAGGTGTTTGTTAACCTAATTTAGAGCGCTTAACCATCTTACTATCAGATAGGATAGTAATCTAACACTAGCTGAGTGTTCTATAAAACTAAAAGTTTTTTCATTTTAATTTATACTCCACTTGATTATAATTGTCTACTGCAGTCCATGGACGCCTGCAACTAATTTCAAACATGGAAGGATACAAATGCATATTCACTTGTTCCCATTCAGACCAGATCACAGTTAAATAGCAGTTCTTACACTGATAAGTGCAAGGACTGCTACTTAAACGCAAAAATAGCCAGAAAACTTTGTACTGATTTACGAAAGTTAAAAAAATACCCGTGTAATATCGAAAGTTCTCAAACTGCGGCAGTACTAAACCTAAACAAAGATTCTACCTAAAATAACCTTAGAAGAATTTACGGCAGTTGACAGATATACAACTTTATTCCCAAGTCTTTTGTAGAAGCTTCTTAATTCAAATTTATTAAGGCAATTAAACATAAAGACGATTGTTCTTGTGAAAAAATGTCCGGACCGCCCCAAATTAAATTTCGCTTATCACGCTTGTTATCGACTTTAATTTTATGGTACATATATTCTTGGTGAGATTTTTTAAAATTATTGTTTTAAATTTATTGTTTTAATTAATAATACCATAATTGATAGAATCAGGCGTTACTTTGCGGAAATCCATTATAATAAAAAATAAAAAATATAAATTTCTTTGCAACTTTCCGCTAAACATATAAAATGATGTGTCTTACCTGGATTGAAGCGCACCTCCCGCCCTCCCTCAATTGCATACACTAACTTCGTCACCACTAGACCAAGCACCACTACTCTCAACACCACTATTCCAGGCAAGACACACCATCGACGATAATACGACACGTGTTTCGCCTCTACACGAGGCATCCTCAGGTAATATAGACTCTACGGCGGCTGACCGCTAAGCGGTCACTTAAGCGGTCACTTAGCGATCAGCCGGAAATTTATATTTCTATTTTTTTATAATAATACCATGTCGTAGCGGGCAAGAATAGCCACTACTCAATATCTTCCCGAGATTGTCGCAAGAGATGACAGAGGAAAACTGAGAAAGAAGATGAAAAGTAGCAACATCTTTCTGATAACACTAAAATTACAATAAAAAATTGCGACTGACAAAACGCTCGCGAAGCGTGGAAACTATGGCAATATAACCTCAAGATGAGAGTTGCGAAGAAACATTCTCCAAAATTTACTTTACGGTGTTAAAAAGAGACTTAAATGCAAAACCAGAGACAACCAAGAGAGTTCTGTCCTAGGGGATGAAGGTAGGGAAATTCGGGATAAGGCAACGGAACCCAAGTGGTTATTAATGATATCTTTGTTCCAGAAGAAATCCCACAGAAAGTGAATCTGGTCGAGCCCCGACGGTTCGACAAAACAAAATATTGATTTATTAGTTATAAACTATTAAGGGAGGAGCTTAAGAAGAATGAAAGGGTTGTCCCGGTTGCTAATAAGAATAGTCTTCCCCCAGATATTAGCAACCTCATTAAAGACAACAGAGCTGCTTACCGTAGAGCTGCTCTCTATCCCACCCCAATAACAGACGTACGGCCCGCCGCCTCCAACTTAAACTCCGTTCATGCCTCTCTGAATTTCGAGACCTCGAAAAGAGCAATTACATGGAGAATATCTCCCCCTCTCATTAAGCGTACAATCAGGTAGGGACAGCCCTCCGGATAGACGCTATCACTCATACTCCCCCTCTCTCATGTCCCGACGGCTCTATCACCTTCGAGGACGGTGAAAAGGCCGAGTGCTTCGCAGACAGTGTCACCGAGCAATGCTATCCCAGCTCACAGCAGACCAACCCCTTTCACATGCAGGAAGTGGAGGACGAGGTCCGCCACAGGAACTCACCCCCCACCGCCTCCAACCCTATCAGTGTGTCCAAAGATGAAATTTCATCCATCGTCAAAAGACTGAAGCCCAAAAAGGTACCGGGCGCTGATGGCATCTCCAACCAAGCCCTTAAACAATTGGCCATTATCTTCAACACGTGCTTCGACTTTAGCTTTTTCCCAACTCTTGGAAAGAGGCAACTGTCATTGGCATTCCCAAGCCAGCAAACCTCATTACCTTCCCTACAATCACCGTCCCATCAGCCTCCTGAAGGCC